GCCCCAGTGACATTTTTAAGTGGCTCTTTTCTTCACTAAGTAGTTTGTGTGAACTGTTTAGCCACCGCCCCCCCCACACACCTCACCCTTTTAATTTTAAGAGGCCTTTGTGTGAAGTTGGTGTGGATCTGGTAACTGTGAACTGAGCTAAGGGCACAGAATAGAGGTTTACTAGGAGGGTAGCAAGGGGGCAGAGTGGATTCTGAGAGCTGTAGGAAGAAATAAGAGTTGATGGTCATGGGAGCAAGTGGCAGGGTTCTTTTTTGTTTGTGACTATACTTTTAAACCACTTACTGAAAAGGCTTGTTCTTCAGTCAGCTGCAGAAACTCAGGCAAATGCACCACTTACCTGGTGATACCACCCAGGAAAAGAAATTAACACAAAATTTATCATGGAGCTGTATCAGTTAACAGTTAAGACAGTGCCCCTCAGAAATGCCTGCAGGATAATGATCTGGGCAGTCTCCAGGTAGTTTGGTTGCGTCTGATTGATAATCAGCCTATATTTCAACATTTTGTGATACTTGTTTGGAGACTGTCTGAAATCACGAGTAGCTTATACACAATACCCTGCAACTGGAGAATTACAGATAAGCCTATACTAGGTAAATTCAAATACGGTTCAAGTCCAGCCCTAACCCTGGTGCTAACCATTGTCTGGTTTTACCAGTAAGTAGGGACAACAATGTTTCAGTGTACAACAGCATGCATGTTACATGGTGATTCCATAACTGTATTGCTTGGGTGATGATGTGGCCATCTTAGTTATGGAAACACCCTCCAGGACGTTGACATCTGATGAAATTGTATGTTTTCTGTTGCATGAAGCATAGCTGTAGCTCTGATGAAGTGAATTTGTTTTTCCAGATTTTATTTTATTTTTTGTTTTCCGAGACAGGGATTCTCTGTCTCAGGCTGGCCTCAAACTGCCTCTGCCACCCGAGTGCTGGGATTAAAGGCGTGCGCCACCAACGCCCGGCTTGTTTACCAGATTTTAATTTATTGAATGCATAGTGTTGTGTGTGTGTGTGTGTTTTTGGGGATCATATTAGAATTATTTCTCTCAATGTCCAAGTACTTCATTCAATTACAGAAAAAAAGGAGTCTGGCTGTATCGTTGGTGTTAACAGACCATAATAGAAACGGAATGGTGGTCCTGGCTTCAACCATCCTTGTTAGAATTCAGGCATCTGTACTGGCCTGCTCTTGGGGTTCTGACAGGATACGCCCTCAGCTGCAGACACTGCACAGTCACTGTGTTCCCTTTTAAAAGGGCCCCACCCACCTCCCATCCTCTCTCTTTCTCCCTCTCTCCCTCTCCCCCTCTTCCCTCTCTCCTGCTGCCCCTGTCCCTAGAGGAGGCCAGTCTCCCCTCCCTATCTCCCTTTTTCTCCCCTCCCTTTTAAGATTAATTCATTTATTATGTATACAGTGTTCTGCTTGCAAGTATGTCACCAGATCTCATTACAGATGGTTGTGAGCCACCATGTGGTTGCAGGGAATTGAACTCAGGACCTCTGGAAGAGCAGTCAAGTGCTCTTTAAGGCTGAGCTATCTCTCCAGCCCCCCTTCCCCTTTTTATGATCCCTTTCCTTAATTAAAAAAACAAAAACAAAACAACCCTCTGCTTGAACCCTCTCGAATGGCGTCTTTCTCTGGAGCGAGCGCTGCTTTTCTTTCTCTCGAGCGAGCGCTGCTTTTCTTAAATTACAACCATCCTGCATTTAGATAAGATGATGCTGAGCCTTGATAATTCAATCTAGTTTGTCTAGAGAACTTTCAAAAGTAGCAAGAGATGCCACGTGAGAAATATTTCACAGTCAACAGAGAACACTGGAAACGGTGTCTGTCACCAGCTTCGGTGGAGGGAAAAATTCTTCCAGCCGCTTGACTTGGCCTTACAGGTGGAAGTCAGTGGAGTATTTCGGAGAGAAGATTGTCAGTGTTGAAATGCTGACTCACAGGGAGACTTCCGTACAGGTTTGATAATGAACATCGAGACTACCAAAGCGTGAAGGTTTTATTTAGACAGAACATAATTGTGCGTCCCCGGAAAGAAAACATCGAGTTCCATTTGTGAGCATTTTGGAGAAATCTGACCTGACTGTTTCCTTTTGTGAGAAAGGAGAGAGACAAAGCTGCTTTAGTTCCCTCAGCCGCCCCACTGGGTGAGATTTCTCCAAAGACAGTGATATTTTCTGGACCTGTCCTGGCAGGGCCAGGACATTCCTCAGTAGAAGATAACGCCCAACCGTCATCCTACAGTCCTGTTCCTAATGCCGTTCCCGGCTTGCTCCGGCCGTAGGTTACTAATCCTAGTTGATACAAGCATACACACATGTGCTAGAGGCTCAGGCCACAAAAACATGTAAAGAGCCTCGCTTGCCTTCCAGCTGCGTCTCCCAGCCTTCTCCCATAAGTAGACAGTGGCCAGCCCCTCAGACTTTCCAGAAGCTGCTCCACAGCCCCCTTCTCTCTCCCTACACAAAGTGTATATTCACGTTTTCGTGAGAAAGAATGTTCTCTCTACTGGCTAGTCACTGCTTTCGGGGAAGGCTTTGCATGATGTCCACTCTGCACGGTGTCCCCTGTTCTTGATGGTCCTTTGATGTTTTGCCTGCTCTGCTCCTCAACAGACAGCACGCAGCGTGTTACTGGGTTTGTGTTGCAGATGTGAGTGCCTTGAGCACTGCATCTGTTAGGGTACACATGTGTCAGATAGAAGTGTGGCCGGATCCCTTGTGGGGACCCCTGCAGGTCCTCCTTGCCATAGAGTAATCCAGACCCATCGTCTGGGGTGTTTCTGTCCTTTGCCTAATCTGTGATGTATTCAGGATGCAGGGACACAGTTAACTGCCCCCTTTGGAAACAAAGACCTTGGGGCTGCCAGGAACAGCTACTTCTGGGACATGGTGTCAGGAGTCTTGCCGAAGTTGCCAGTTAGTCTGATTGGAGCTAGACCTTGCCAGTTGTCTTGTCACCTGTTTGCCTGTGAGCCATGCCAGCTAGATGCACCGTACGAAGGAAGGCGACCTGGGTTCTGTGTCCCCTGCCTGCAGCGTGCCTCTGGGTAGTACAGTCAGTAGTGGGTTGTGTCGGGGCTCCCCCTGAACCTGACTGCTGCTTCTGGCTTGCCCAGAGAAGTCTGAGCGGGACGCTCTTACACATCCTAGCTTTGCCTTGCTGACAGTAGGTGATGAGCTCTGTCCTGTTCCAACAGGAAGGGTTATTCTCCACCCAGCAGTTCCAGCCACACCTTCTCAACCAAGTCCTCATTCCTCCAGTGCCTCGTTAATAACACTGCTGTGGTTTCTGATTTCTGGTTGAGTCCAAACAATCCAGACAACTGTCTTAGTGGGCCAGCTTAACTTCTGGGGAAATGTCAGAGACGGACTAAATGATGCGTTGCCGTTTATAACTCCAGAGTCCCACTATCAAGTGGATACGAGGTCCCACTCTAGAGTGAGGTAATGGCTGCAGCCTGTGGCAGTTAGGAGTGGAAAAGAGAGAAAAATAGCGAGGGGTGTAAGTGCTGTGTGAGGTAAGGAGAGCAGGTGTGACAAACAGAAGGGCTTTTAGCAGTGGGATTCCTCCAGGAGCCTATGGGACAGGCACACTTTATGGCATGTATGGATATTTACTACTTTAAGTCTAAATGGATCTAGAATAGAAAATACACAGTGTGGTTTTTTTAAATCAATTCTTTTACTTTTTATGTATTCATTTATTATGTATGCAACATTCTGCCCCCATTTCTGCCTGCACATCGGAAGAGGGCACCAGATCTCATTATAGATGGCTGTGAGCCACCATGTGGTTGCTGGGAATTGAACTCAGGACCTCTGGAAAAGCAATCAGTGCTCTCTTAACCTCTGAGCCGTCTCTCCAGGCCCCAACAGTGTGATTTTTTTTTTTTTTAATCTGTTACTATTCTCTTTCTGAGCAGTGGATAACCTTGAGCAGTTCTGATTTAGTGCTTGAAGTGTAAGCACAGAGGTGTTTATCTGTCAGTCGGCACTTACTCTTTAGTTCCTGTCTAGCTTCTACAGGTCATGCCAAGCAGGGTGTCAGTTTCTTCATAGGCCTCTGGTCTTCAGGTCTTTATAGGCGTAAAACCCAAGAGTACATAATCTGCTCAAGGATATGATGATGAAAACGTGACTTGAGTGTGGTTACGGTCCTCACCGTCACTTGAGGTCAGTACTGAGTGGGCCTGCCCTCGTGTGTGCACACACACACCATCTGGCTATATGCAGGCACAGGTAGGAAGTGTGAAAAGCAGAGGCCCCACAAGTCCCTCCCCAGGTGCTGTTTTAAGGTTTCAGAGTCTCTCATTAAATATATCTACCAGCTAGTGAGAGGCTAGATTGAGTACTGTGATGTGGGCTATCCTTTGTATGCTGCGGATATGTGTTGCTTTTACTGGTTGATGAATAAAGCTGATTTGGCCAATGGCCAGGCAGAATAGAGCCAGGTGGAAAACCCAAGCAGAGTTACAGAGAGAGAGAGGGTAGAGTCAGGGGAGACAAACCATGTAGCCACAGGGGAAGCAAGATGTGAGGTAACAAGCCACAAGCCTCTTGGTAAAACATAGAATAATAAAAATGGGTTAATTTAATTATGAGAGCTAGTCAGTAATATGCCTGAGCCATTGGCCAAACAAACATAATTAATATTAAGCCTCAGAATGATTATTTAATAAGTGGCTGTAGGGATTGGCAGTCAGGAGAGGAACCAGTCCAACGGGACTGGGAGAGAGAGAAAAAAACTTCCAGCTACGGAACTGGTCACATGAGTGACTGCCTGAGTGTTCACAGCAGGGTCCGGGACTGTGTGCCAACTTTAAACACCGACTCTGGGCTCTCCTTTCCAGGTGCTTTTGCCTCCGTGCGATGATACCACTGCTGTGACCGGCACTGCCAAGGAGCCACCACCGCCATACGTGTCTGCCTGAACCGATGGATTGATCGATCGGTCCTTCTCTGATGTCACTCCCAAGACGAGCTCTTTGAGCCTGTTTGCTGATAAAATACCACATTTTACCATTTAGATGTTAAGTCTGAAGCCCCTGTCGTTAGAAACATCCTCTGTAGTTAGAACACCAGGGTGGCCGTAGGTTATTTTGGTGGGGTATGGGGTGTGGGGTGCAATGAGCTCCCTTAGTCTGTCCCAGAACTGTAGATGGCCTTTTCAGAGGCTGGTTTGTAGCTGCTGGGCACTAGGTCACACTGTTTCTCTCCATCCCTTCTGACTCTCTTCAAAGCATAAAACGAAAATTAGATAATACTTAAACCATTCCAGTGTATAGAACAAACCCTGATACAAATAACGTTAATTGCTCTAACCAGGTAGTTAGGAGCCCTTACATTTGTGATGTAACTTACTATCCCCAAATCCAGTGATACTCTGAATTTGCCGGTCAAGGATTTACTCTGTGCTGAATAAAGACTCCAAACGGTAAGGGCAGGAACCCGCCGCCCAGGGTGTCTGTTGTTCTGGGGTGGTCTGTTTGGCATCAAGGCACCCACTTTTCCTCGGCGTCTTGCCCCAGCAAATCTCTCTTGCGGCATTAAGTAGAACTGCCCATGTGTGTTTGTCTACAAGTATGGAAAAGGGTTTTTATCCTCTCTCCTTGCGGGATACACCCTAATTTTTTTTTTAATATGTCTAATTATCTGTTGAAAATGTCAAGCGGTCTTCAGAAAGATGAGGATCGCTCCCTCGTGGAATGTTCTAGACTGAACTGGGAAAGACGTTAATGTCTCTTGTCTCTGGAAGTGAGCAGCTCCCCTGGCTTGTTCATCGCTGAATGTGCTGTACATGGAGGCTTTGCAATAAAAGTTTGTCTGCATCCAGGAAAACAGCCTTGGCTCTAATGATTGTGCCCAGCCACTCTCACCGCCCTCTGGGGCTGGGGCTACGTAGATGCACACAGCTCGGTCGTTTTACACAGATGTATCTAATACCCAATGCTGATGAAATTGGGTCAGTTGGACCAACAACACCCAGCGTTCAGTGTTTCTTACCTGTCCTTACAGACTTTGGTTATCTCGTCGTGGTGTGTGTGATACCTTTGTGTCCACAGTACCCATAACCCAGCCTTTTTTTTTAAGAGATGGGGTTTTGCTTTCTATAAGCTTAGCAAGGAGCTTGCTGTGTGGCCCAGGTAGGTTGGCTTCCAACTCCATGAGCTTTTTTTACATCCCTAATGCTGGGGTTACTGGCATGTTCCGCCACACTTGGTCACCAAGCACTTTCAATAAGGAGTATTACTGTGCCCCAAAGTGTGATGTTGGTATTGTCAACTCGACAGGATTTAGAATCGCCTGGGAGATGGGCCTCTAGGCATGTGGTGGGGGCGTCTGGGTTACGTTGATTGACTGGGGAAGTCCTGTTGACTGTGGGTGGGACCATTCTCTGGGCAGCAAGTTCTGGACCCCATACAAGTGGAGACATGAAGTCAGACACCAGTATACGTTGCTTGCTTGGGACTGGACATAATTTGATGAGTTTCTTGATACCTTTCCTGCTATGATGAGAGTGAACCCTGGAAGTGTGAACTAGAATAAGCCCTTCCTGATCAAGGGTATTTTATCACAGTCACAGGAAGAAAAAAAAGCACATAAGATGGGGAGACATAAACATGAAAGATGAGGAGGGCAGTGATTTATCCCTGAGAATCAGCCTTACCTCCGTTGTGTTTGTTTTGTTTTGTTTTTTTATTAGAACTCTGAGTCCATCCTGAGAAATTCTGTTCCTTGAAGTTTCGTGTCTGTAAGAGTCACACAAAGTTAGACACACTAAGCCTTCAGAGTAGGAAGGGCCTCTATCCAGTAGTTTATGATCCCGGTGGAAGGTACGTGAGGAAACCACAGTGTACCATTGTTCCCCTTTGCCTAATAAGTTTGCAAATGACACGTGGAAAGGCACGCTTGCCTTTGGAGTGTGGGTGGAGCTGTTGGAAAGGAGATGCATACTGCTACGAACCGACTGATACCCAATCTTCAAATCCAGTGACCGGAAGAGGCCATACCGAGTTGCTCCCTGTCCTGCGATCGCTGCGTGGGAATCCTTCAGGTTCTCATCCTCACTGGAGTCTTTAATTAAGGTTGCAACTTCAAGCTCAGCCCCTCAAAGTTCACAAACGGGGCTATGCTTGAGG